GTTCCTCGGCCACTTCTAGTTTCTTCTGGATCTCTTCCAGTGATGGGTCTTGCCGCCAGTGAAAATAGGCATTGAACTCGGGCATCCCATCAAAGGAAGGTGGCTTCAGGATGACTTTGAAGGACTAGCCTGAGGTGCATTTGTTCAGTTCAATGACTTCCATGTCCAAGATGACGCACCAGTTCAGGTCCATTGTGTCTGCTGCATGATGAGAGCGAGGACTGCTTACCTGCTGAAGAATAGCTGGGACCCCTAAAACATGCACATGGACCAGGAGAGCTGGGTCCCTGTGACAAACCAGTGGCCATGGGCCTGGTTCTGTCCTGAGCACTGCTACCTAAGGTCAGAGGGCTGATAGGGCCCAAGGTCCATAGCCACAGTAAGGCCCCAGGCTCCTCAATTAGGGCCCTGGGGACATGTGATGTCTGACACCAGCCACAGCAACAGCAGCTGCCTTGGCTTCTGCCTCTGCCACCAGCCTCCTCCGAGAATTAGCTCTTTCACCCATTGTCCTTGCTGGTGTCAGACAGTGGTGCATTTTACCCACTGCCCACCCAGGCCCCTCCTTATCCTGCTACCCACTGACTGTGTGGCCTGTGGACACTGACTGCTCCTACCCTGTTCTCTTCTTTCTGTCCATTCAGCACTGTCTTTCATCTGGCTTTGATCTTTCCTCCTACAGGGTTTCCCACACCAGCCTAAACAGAAAAGACAATCCCAGGTCATCCAAACCCACCATCACCTACTGCCAGGCCAACCACACCCCTTCCTCTCAACAGGAAATAGGAGGTGACCTGTCCCTCACACCCAGCAGGAGAACCTGGACATGCAGTGTCTAGGAACCATCTCTGACACTGGCCCCGAGCAGTACAGCCACCACAGCCCAGGCAGGAAGCCCTCTTCCCACCTCCAGACTCTTGGAGCATCTCCTCCTTCCCTAGGAGACCCCTCAACCACCCGTGTCCCCTCTTCCCTTCTGGTTTGTTCCTGAGGGTGGACTCTCTGCCTGGTTCCCCTTGGTGTTGTTTGTTCAAGAAATGAACAAAGGTGAAGCTAAGAGGGAGTGCTCTAGAAAGGGCCTGATTCAGAGCCCAGCTGCCATCTAGTGCCCCAGGCTAGACCCCTGCAGCTCGGACCCTGGCACTCTGGGTAGGAGCATGTGCACGGGAAGGAGAGTTTCATAAAATGGGGGCTGGGGACTGCACCCTCATGCACAGGAGGGAGCCTCTACTCCTTTCTTCCTCAACTGAGTCCTCACTGACCTTCATATATGTAAGATGACTTATTCAGAAGGTCAGCCAGGAAGCAGAAGAAGAACAGGGACACAAGTGGGAGCTCCTCCATCTTCTCCTTGTAGGCTGTGGAAACATCAGGCAGGTAAAGTTGGGGACCCTGGCTGGCCTCAGAGACCCACATCTACATGAGTTGGTCTGGAGTTTTTAGCTCCAGAAATGCACCCAAGCCACCTGCACCTCTCACATCTGGAACCACCTCCTTAGGATTGTGGCGTGTGATTCAGCCCCTCATCTGTCCCCTTCCAGAGCACCCAGTGGCCCTATCTAGTATTTCTCCCCTCCTAGCACCAAATGCCAGGCATCCTCAGGTATAGATTTCAAGCACCACCACCAGCCCCCAGCTTGACTCTGGGACCCAGCTTTCTGTCTCCCCATGCTCACCCTGGATGAGTCACTTCTTTGGCATTGGGATGTAGAAAATCCATGCTCCATTCTACCAGAAACATTGGGTAGTGCCACACAAAGGGTGGAGAAGAAGACAGGACAGGGAGTCATCACTGTCCCTCTGCTCCACACTGGGTGCTAAGTGGGGCTGCTCTTCCTGACCTTCCTAGCACAGTGGCCAAAGCCAGCATGACTGGTGTCCATGAGGCAAGAGTGTATCTCCACCACCACCAATTCCCTCTGTGTTTGGAGGTCACAGTTCAGAGCCGCCCAGGCCACAGTGGTGACCCCTGTCCGTCCCTCCCCACTTCCCTGGAGATAGTGGACATGCTTTTGTGCTCAGCATTCTCAGGCCTTCTCAGCAGCAACCTGCCCAGCACAGAGCCAATTGTGCTCTTTTACAATTGAAAACATAAGTGACTGCAGAAATACTGCATGGGCATTTAAAAAACTTTAAAAGAAAAAATACACCAATGAGCAAAAGGAAAAAAAAAACTTCAGTTATACTCCCACCCACCACCCGGGGACTGAGATGGTCAGGAGCCACCATGGTGGGACAAAGGCTGGGACAAGAATAAAAGCCCTTCCTCCTCATGGGAGATATCTCCATGCTCTACCCCTGTGCTCTCTTCCCAGGCCTGTGGTTAGACCTGCTAAAAGCACAGAGGCAAAATGTTTGCACAAGAAGAAATTGTTACTGGGGGGAGAGAGGGTGGTAAAAAAACTCTAATTGCACTTATTTTTATTCACTTTCAAAATCATTACTTTGGGGCCAGGTGTACTGGTGCATGTTCAGTAATTCCAGTGACTTCAGAAGCTAGGGCCAGAAAATCACAAGTTCAAGGCCACCCTTGGCAAATTTGTGAGACCTTGCCTCAAAATAGAATATTAAGAAGGGGCTAGATAAACCAAATTCCTTCTGAGAAACTGCTAATTTTTTCCTGACTTGAAACTGGGGTCCAGGATAGTCTTTAGTGCCACGTCACCAGGTTATTTTGAGAATTAAGGGAGAAGATGTGTCTAAGTACATGTAATGCACTCAATATCCAATAGCTGTTGCTCATATTTGTTTGCTGCCTTAATTTATCTTTATTTTTTTCTGTGGCACTGGGGTCAGCCAATTCTGCTTAGTGCTATGAGTTCCTGAAGAACTGACATTTTCCCTCTCTTAGTCCATTCTTGCTGCTATAGCAAAATACCAGATGGGATGATTTATAAACAATATGTTTATTGCTCACAGTTCAGAGGCAGGGAAGCCAAGATCAAGGCACCAGCAGATTGATGTCCAGTGGGGGCCTGTTCCCTCTTGTCATGTCCTCCGTGTTGGAAGGGCTGTGGGAACCTTCTGGCCTCTTGCATGAGGGCACCAATCCTATTCCTGATGTCCATCCTGTGACCAAGCACCTCCTAAAGCCTCCACCTTTTTATACCATCTCCTTGGGTATGGAGTGCCACACATATGAAGTCTGGCGGGGGCCAACATTCAGATGGTGGTTCTCCTGGGAATGCCATCAGAGCTCTTCCAGATCCCATCTCCTCCGTTAATGCTCCTTCTCTGTCCCAGGACCCCAGCCGGCTCCCTGTTTTTCTTTCATCCTTCTGAGATTTGGGGATTTACAACTTTTAATTTTTTTTCTTCCTGCTTTAAACTCCATGTCTTACAGGATGTTATAGGACAAATAAACTTGAAGAACATGGATGGAGGTTTTGAAGATTGCAAATCTACTTAGAAATATAAAAGGATCATAATTAAAATTAATCCCATTGGTTGTGCTTTTGATTCAGTGGCAGTTTTGGTTTTGAAAAGCAAGATCTCAGTTTAGGTTTAGGTCCTGCCTGTCCTGTATCAGTGAGAAGTGGTCCCTCCTAATTAAATGGTGATTGTAGGATGCTCTTGTGAGTGGCAGAAGCTTCATCTACTTTTATTACTTTTGGATTGAGTTTTAATTGAGTGCAGATTTTTAGTAATTTACTTTTTCAACTGACAGTGTATGGTGTCAATCACATCACATGCATTTTTACCAACAAGTTAATTTGAATTACCAACTTTTTTTCCCTTTTGGTGGGGGGTCAATTGCCTTCTAATCACCCTGGAAAAGATGAGGGGCTCATTCTCACTATCATTGTCATTTTGTCTTTTTTGTGTCTCTTAGAAGTTTCCGGCATTTGCTGCAGTAGTTATAGGATTACAGAAATGCCCTCCACATCTCTTGGGGGAAGATGGTGCTGGGGGTGATGGGCTGGGTGTTAAGGTGTCCTGTACCCCCCAGTTGTGTTACAGATTAGACATCGGATCTGTAGACGCTCTTCCCTGTCGCCCTTGGGAGTTCTCCCCTAGTAAAGTCTGGAGCCCTTGTGGGCACAGGCCCTCTCCTGTACATGCCTCTGGCTTTCCCTCTGCACTGTGCTGAGGGTAAGTGACCCAGAAAGCCAGGCCCAGGCTTCAATCCAGCTCCATACCTGCAGCAGTCACTTAGCTTTCCGGACCGTGGTTTCCTCTTCTCTGGGATGGAAACTGTGATGATGCTGAGGGAGGGAGCTCTCTCCTGCCAGGGCCACCTTAGATGCCTGCCATCAGGGCATGTCACTTAGAATTGTGTGGTTACCATTATTAGGAAGTTTTTGTATTCTGAGTTATTCATTAAGTGAATAAAAGAACAAGGCATATTTTTCTCTTTGAAAAATATCCTGTAATGAGATCTTTAATTTACTAGGGTAGTAAGCATGTAACTCAGGGGTTTCTTAACCTTGGCATGACTTTGAGATTTGGGGCCAGATAAGTTCATATTGTGGAGGTAGAGGGAGGTTCAAACAACTGATGTCCCTGGCCTCTACCCTCTAGATGGCTGAAGTATCCCCAGTCATGACATCCAAAAATGTCCCAGGCACTGCCAAACATCCTCTGTGTGTGTGTGGGGAGGGGGACAGGGACTATTGATATAGCTAATAAGTGAGAAAGGATAAAAGAAAAGAGAAGATCTTTTTGTTCTTAGATATGTTTCTCCCTCCCAGCTGGTTCTATGTTGTCTAAAATAAAGATGAGACCTTTTCAAGGGAGCATTCAAGCTGCCCCCTTAGGCTTTAGTTGGGAGTGGTCATTTGCTATTGTCACTACTAAGTTAGATTACAATTCTCAACTATTTTTATGTCTCTTATTTCCATTTAAACATATCCATATCAGGAGAACTTAAAGCATTGAAAGTTTCCAACAGCCTGAGCATTTCTTTTAGATTGACAGACCCTTCAATATGGAGTGAGTCTATGTATAGCTTAGGAAGGTTACCCAGCAGCTAACTGCAAAATTGTCATCCTGTGATAATTTGAAAAGTAAAGTGTGCAACCATTACTACTTATAAAAACATGCCTTTCTAAGTTCTTCAGATGAGGTAATCTTCATTTCCTGAATGTTTTTCTGCACCTTAGTTTCTGAGTTGCAGTTTATTTTCAATAGCAAACATTTCAGCTTATATGTGATGAATGATCAAATTGGATGAAACCCTCAAATGTTTAGATTTTCTCACCATCTGTAATGTACAGGTACAGATCAGCTTGGGTCTGCATTGTGCAATAGAACAAAAGAATGTTAGAAGTATCATAAATTTTAATTTAAATAAAAAATATAACCGGATTCTGGAAACCTGATTTAGTGGGTCTTTGGTTTTGGCTTCCTAATATTGTCTTCTGTGCTGATGACAATCCCAAGGGAGGCAGCAGGACCTTGTTGATTCAGTGGAATATTAATGTCCCAGAGTGACAAGTCTATTTAAATTGGTTGGCTCTGAGAAGCCGCATGGAGCACAGGATTTTTTTATGAAGATTGCCAGGTTCCAGGTTGCTTTTGAGAGCCCTGTTTATACTGAAGTGCGCTGTAAAATAAGGCTGCTGCCTCAGGAGGAGAAACAATCAAAGGCCTGCATCTTGCATGATTCCAGGGAGCACATAGATTAAAAGGAAGATGAAGAGCCAGAAAAGACACCGTGTTCTTGCTCCACAGTCCTGCTCATCTCCGGCAAGCCCTGACTAGACTTCTGGTAAACCAGGGACTTATAGTAGGATGTTGATTTCTGTTTATGAGGAAAACGGGAATTTTTTTGTGAACTGAGAATTTGCCACACTGGAGTTGTTTCACGTTATTAGAGAAAAATTAACTCAGGAAATTCATACCCCACCCCTTCATCCCTAAAACAAACCCTGAGACAAGGACTTGAGGACAAATAGATTTTTTCAATGGTTGCTTTTGGGAAGCAGCCTGGCAGGGTGCGGGTGGGGAAGTGAGTTGGGAAGAGACAATGCTAATTCAGTGACCTCGGGCTCCTGAGCAGTTGCTGGTGGGTTACTGGGACTCAGCCCTGCTGGGCCCTCTGAGAGATGAGCAGAATCCATCTGGGAGATACCCCAAGGGACAAAGACACTGGGGGATTTATCTTCCAATTCTGGCCCCTCATGGGGGCAGGGTACACTTTTCCCACTTGCTGTGCCACGGAGGTAGCTCCTCAGTCCCACTGGGCTGGACAGCAGGCTCTCCCCCATGACCTTGCAATCCTGACTTGCTGAGCTGATTACACAACCAGTGCCCCAGAAGCAGGCTACAGGTGGCCCAGCAGGAAGCTGGCAAGGGCTGGCCCACCCTTGTGGTGTGTCACCTCCTGTTGCAGGAGGGCAGCCTGGGCTGGGTTGCCTAGGAAGGATGCCATCAGGATGGGGGTTGGTGGAGAAGAAAAAAGAAAGTGACTACTGCGCCTGCCTCCTACTGTCCTCGGGGGCCTGGCCTGACTCCCAGGGAAAGTGAACTAAGAGGGCTGGAACATCATTTTTCCCCTTTGGCACTAGTTTGGGATGTTTTCCACTGCAGTAGCAGAAGTCCAGGCTTGAGAGTGGATTAGACAAGTGTCTTTTCCTTGTATCTCACTAGGAGTCTTAAGGTTGGTGGTCAATGTCCAAAGCTGGCCTTGATTTAGAGAAGACAACATGGACCTGAGTTTCTTCTCCTATTCATCAATTCCCTTGGCTTCCTGCTTTGTCACCTCTTGATTCCAAGACAGTCACCAGACCTCTGTTAGGAGGCAATGGCAACAGCAGCATATACACTTGTCCCTGTTCTCAGGAGGTGAATACCCCATAGGGCTCAGGCCAGCACAAGGTTGCTTGGACACAGGCAGCTGGACAAAGGGGAAACAGACTTCAGTCATTAAGTTAAACCAATGGTTCAGAGTCAGGGATTATATTGTTTCCCAGGTGACATTTGGCAACAGCTGGGTACATTTCTGGTTGTGACAGCTGGTGGGGTGCTACTAATATCTCGAGTAGTCACCAGAGGTGCTGTTAAAAGTCCTTCAGTGCACAGGATAGCCCTCACCACAAGCATGGCCAAAAATGCCAATAACGCTGAGGTTGGGCAGTCTTAGGCTAGATCATTATGATCCATTGCCTAGAACTGAGTATGTTGCTTTCAATACAATAGAGGATGATTTTGTGCAGACAACTCTTAGCTGTCAGCAAGGTGGAAAGTGGACCCATTGGCAAGAGCACACCCTTGGTCCACAGGTTTAAGCACTGTTGGGTAGGAGGCAAGGATGCTGGTGGTGTCCTGGGAGAAGATGAACACAGTGGCATTTTGGAAGTTCTCTATATTCTTTTAAAGGTATTCAAGTAAAATGTTAATCATCAGTACATTTGATCCTCCCATGTCCTGGGTTCTGTTTCATGAATTCAGGCAACTACAGATATAAAATATCTCTAAAAAATGCATTTGTATGGAACCGGTACAGACCTGTTACCTTGTCACTGGTCACTAGACAATACAGCCTAGCAACTGTTTACACAGCATTTACCTTGCCTTAGGTTTTATAAGTAATCTAGAAATGGTTTGGTGTCTATGGAAGTGCATAGGTTATATGCAA